GAGCTACCTGCCTGTAAATGGGTCATGTTGACTTGCAAAAGCAACTCCCCAAGGAGAGGCCCAGCACAGCAAATGAGTTTATACTTACCTCAGTGATCATCTTAATAAATAAATGCTTAAATCAAATGTACTTTTGTTTATAAGACCTTTAGTCCTACAGTTTAATTAATGTCAGTTTTAAAAGAATAAAGTTGGCGCTTCTAAGTTTTTACTTTACATATTTCTCTAGACAAATTTTGTCCTTTCATTTAATGTGTGGTAATTTCATGATTTCTGAGCCAAAGTATGGTCAAAACTGTTAGGCAGAAATAAGTTCAGATCTGAAGCAGTAATTGTTGAAATACATATTTATTAAGAATTGCTTTGTAGTTCTAGCTTTGTTGCTAATTAGCATAATGTTAAGTGAGTCATTACTTATTTTTGAGTCTTGACTATTCATCTACAAGGTAGAAGAGATAAACAAGGTTCAAGTTCTTTTCATCAGGATCCCCTAGAGTTTCTAGTGTGTGCCCCTCATTTTACCTTTGGACTCTGATGATCTTAAGCCAACCTACAGGCATGATTTACTTTAACGGATATTCCGTGAATCTTTAGATAATTGTTGAAAACAAGAGTGAAGAGGAATGCTGTGACAGTTAGGGCTACCTCTGTGCCTGGTGTGTTGTCACCTATTACCTTGTCTCTGGGACAGGTCTCCCCGGTTGGTTTGGAGCCCTCTTGAGGATGAGGAAGGCATCTTTTATGATCTTCCATTTTACACTATAATAGGTAAGCCTAAAAGTAATTTAGTTGAATTTAATATTGGGCCCAGCGCAATAGCGTAACGGTTAAGATCCTAGCTAGGATCCCATGTGGCTGCCGGTTCTAATCCCGGCAGCTCCACTTCCCATCCAGCTCCCTGCCTGTGGCCTGGGAAAGCAGTTGAGGAGGACCCAGAACATTGGGACCCTGCACCCACGTGGAAGACCCAGAAAGAAGTTCCTGACTCCTGGCTTCGGGTCGGCGCAGCACCGGCCGTTGTAGTCACTTGGGGAGTGAATCAGCAGACAGAAGATCATCCTCTCTGTCTCTCCTCCTCTCTGTACATCTGCCTTTCCAATAAAAATAAATAAATCATTCAAAATAAATTTAATTATATTAATAAATTGCAATAAAATTTTAGAGTAGTTGTCTTTTTCCCCAGTAGCTGTAGCAACATTCGCTGATCTGTATGGTTTTAGTCACATTTCTGGAATCTAATTTCTCACCTGTAAAATGAATTGTGCACTACACTATCTGTAAGAATACTCCTTGGCATACTAATCTGCCTTTTTGTAAAATTACACGTAAGTCCAGGGCATAGATACTTATTGTGAGCCTCATGCTTGATAGTTGGACTTGGCTTTGAGATACAAGCTTAGCTTAGAATTACAAAGAGAGAGACAAGTAACTCCAGGAATCCATCTTGAGAGCATGCGGGCTCACCGTTCTGGTACTCTGCAGGGATGCCATCTGAAAACCCTGCCGTCTTTTGACTCCACGTCAGCCCTGTGGCCAGTCTTCTGAGGTATCCTACCTAGAGCCATTCCATGTTCTCAGAGTCACTGTGTTGAATCGCCTCTGTTTTAACAGGAAAAAACTAGAGGTACAAATGCTCATACCTAAATTCCATCAATTCGATCTTGATTAAAAGTTATTACTAACATTTGTAATATATTTCTGAGAGTAGTAATTTGTTGAAAAATAAAGACAGCTGTCACATTGTAGGTACAATTAAGATTTAATAAGGAGTAATATACATTGCCTTTTTCTTATCCATCTGAAACCTGTAGCTGAATAAGTACTTTGTATGAGATGTGGTGGGTTATTTTTTAGTACTTCTGTGAAATTGTAATTTGCTTAATTATAATCCATTTATTCTAAAACTGCCTTCTATAACCCGAAATGTAATATGTAGATACATAGATATATAGATATATATAATTCAGCAATGACTCAGTTTGATGCAAATCTCTTTAGTCATATTTCTCATGAATAAAATGAATTACTATTTATCTCAAGCTGTTGACAACCTTCAAATTCAGAAGTACTATATTAAGATAGGCATAACCCTAAAATTCATAAGGTTTCCAAACAAAACCAACAATATGACAAAGTCCAGTAATATTATTTGTAAAAAATTATAAAATATGTTACTCTGAAGCCATCATGTTTAGTAGAAAATCTGTAAGCATGAGTTTTGCAGAGTACGCTGAGCTTTCAACACCAGACCAAAATATTACTAAGATTCCACATCAGGGCTTTTAGTTTCTCCTTGACCCTTAGATATTTTCTTTTAGGATCAAGTTTAAAAGAATAAATAAAATAAGGTTTAACATTATTTGGATGATAAGACTGAGGATTAAAAATAATTGGTATAAACAAAATACCCATCAAATAGTAGGTGTTTCAAAGGATAACAACCAAGAAGAACATCATATTGATGTAATGATGGAAGTGCTGATTTCTATACATTCAACTTGAGTACGTATTTATTTATTTACATAGGACTTCACTTGTATTGACATTACAGTGCAAGTATGCACTGACATAATATGGGATGCCAGCATGGCAGGTGGAGACATGACTTGTTGTACCACAAAGCTGGGCCCACATTACATTGTTTTACTTATTTATTTTTTTAAGATTTATTTTTATCTGAAAGGCAAATTAAAAAAAAGATTTATTTTATTTTTATTAGAAAATCAAATATACAGAGAAGAGGAAAGACAGAGAAGAAGATCTTCCATTTGCTGATTTACTCCCCAAGTAACCACAGTGGCCGGATCTGAGCTGATCCGAAGCCAGGAGCCAGGACCCTCTCCTGGGTCTCCCACACAGATTCAGAGTATCGGGGTTTTGGGCTGTCCTCGACTGCTTTCCCAGGCCACAAGCAGGGAGCTGGCTGGGAAGTGGAGTAGCTGGGATTAGAACTAGCTCCCATATGGGATCCCGGGTCGTGCAAAGCAAGACTTCGGCTGCCCGGCTACTGCGCTGGGCCCTGAAATTTACAGAGAGAATAAAGGGTGGGGGTGGAGAGGGAGAGAGAAAGTGAGCCAGAGGGAAAGAGAGATATCTTCTGTCTGCTGGTTCTCTCCCCAGATGTCCATAATAACCAGAGCCGAGCCACTCAAAACCAGGAGCTTCTTCCAGGTCTCCCTCAGGGGTGGCAGGGCTTCAGATAGTTGAGTCATTAAGGGTTGCCTTCCCAGGTGCGTCATCAGGGGGTTGGATGTACGGTGGAGCAGCAGTCCAGCTGAACCAGGTGGAACTCACTGAACCACAAGCCTGTGGGCTTCTGGAGTTTTTATTAAAGGCACTAGTTCCTGGAACTCCCATACAAAGGAGAGGGAGAGAGAGAGAAAGAGAAAGGGAGAGACAAAGAGAGGGAGAAAGAGAGAGGGAGAGAGAGAGAGAGAGAGCGAGCAAAGGAGATACCCCTGAGTAGCCCCTGTCTCTTTCCACTTCTTGGCCTATACAGCCCAGGCCTCTGGCAGCAAGAAGGCCAATTTCCTCATCTCTTGGTGCTATCTCACTCTTTTCCGCAACCAGAACTGTGAGACAAAACAAACCTGTTTCCTTCTGATCCTCCCCAGCTCGGAGCATCGAACAACTGGCCACAGATTCGGACTAAAACATCCCGTTTCTACTCTGCCTCCCACATCACAGTCTGGACCTCATGCCAAGGCCGGGATCATTGTCCCACGAGCTGCGTCTCAGGGGAGTGGGCCATTGTCTAACTGGGTGACACATGTCTACCCTGAAGAGTCACATATAGTAGTCAATTGACAGGAAACAATTAGTGTAGGAGAAAGCACAGCTTGAAGATTTGAAGAGCATTTTTTTTAAGAGGTCTGGGAGGAGCACAACTGCTATAGGAGAAATGGCTTTGTTTTACAGGAAAGACAGGATAACTTGGCAGAGGTCTCCCTTTTCATTCTGAGCTCTGGTGAGGAATGTGTTCATTTGTACTTGACTTGCTGTGGGGAAATAACGCGGTGCCCTATCAGCTCGGCAGCCTGCTCCACGGCCCCCTGCGCGCCGCTGACGGTGGAAGGTGCCTGGGAGGGGCTGTGGCGCCCTGGCACTTCCCGAGCCACTGGCATCCCTTTCTCTGCTGCTGCCACTTGCAGACACCACGCTTCCTCGGGAGAGGAGGCAGCCATCCATCTAAATTAGCTGTCGCCCTCTGCTCCACTGCCTCGCATCTCGCCCTGCCAGCCACCACTCCTACCCCTTCTATTGTGTTGTCTTTGCAGTTTAGCCTCGCTGCCTGCGTGAGAGGCTCACTTCATTCGTAGCAAGGAGACTTGCTTGAGTTTCAATGGAGCTGTACGGAAAGGTAAGCGGGAGAACGGGGCTCCCCAGAGAGCTGGGCGAGGAACCCTGCTTCCGTGGACTTGGCTGTGTGGAGTTGTCTGTGTGCGCGCGTGTGCGTGAGGGCGCGCACCTTCTCAAGGCAATTGTGCGGATAATCCACTTTCCTTGTGTGAGTCTGTGCGTGCGATTCGTCATCTTTCTGTCCTACGTTCGTTAAACTGGATTGTAAAACTAGCACACTCAGCCGAGGGAAATGTATAAACTTTCTCTATCTGGGACAGGGAGGGATAAGGCTGGGAATCCTAGAGCGCAGCTTGGGCTTCGTTTTTATCGGCAATGAGCACAAGGTAGAGCCCTTTTTAAGCAGGAAAAAAAAATCACAACCCCGGCATCTGAAGGCAATGGTTAGCAAAGAAAAATGTCCAGCCGAAATAAACCGCGGCGACTTTCCAGAAAACGGGTAAGGAAAGCAGACAGAGAGCGGTGAGAGGCAGGAGCGCTAGGAGGGAGGAAAAGGACAGCTCCACGGAGGAGCCCGACCGAGGGGGCGAGCCTGTTTATTTGCTTGCTTGCTGGGAGATGTAGTTCTCGGCTCGCCGGTGTGGCAGGAAAGCCGGAAGCCCTGGACTACAACTCCCAGGAGCGCGCGGGAGCTCCCGGCCAGTACGCGTGTGCGGCGCCGGGAGAGGACAGCTCCGGTGCTGATGTTGGGAGCGGGTGAGCGCACCCTGGAGCGCAGAGTGTGGAGCGCGCGGCGCGCGGGGCCGTCCACACACTCGACCCGGCAGCCCGGCCAGCGCTGTCCTAGCCGGAGAGAGTAAGGACATTTGCCAACCATGAGACACGAGGCGCCCATGCAGGTGGGTCTGAGGAGAAAGAGTAGTAGCCTCGGGAGGAATGGGGAGGTGCCCGACCCCCGGGGAGCTTGAGGCGGCCACCGGCCAAGTCACGGACCGCGTGGTTAGGTCCTGGGGCCGAAGCTGGGGGTCTTGTGCGTTCCGGGGTTGGGGGGCGGCTGTGGAGGCTGCCTTGAGGAGGGATGTGGGTGTTCATTATATTTCCGGGTTCTGTAGGGAGGGTGAGAGTGTCTGACTAAAATGAAAACCCGGGCGAACAAAAGTAGGAGAAACACGGCGTCTCGTGTTTGCCGTTTGCCACAGAGCCTTCCCCGGGTTGTGATCGCGGGGCGGTGAGGTTTGGACTCCTCAGTTCTCTGTTGGAGTCGGGACCGCGAGGGGAATTCTGCTCGGCGAAGAGCACGGGAAGAAAGGCGAAGCCAGAGCCGGGGTCCCGGGTCCCCTTTCTCCAGTCAGTAGCTCGGTCCCGGGTCCGAGCTTGGTTTGTCCCCGCGCTCTGCCAGCTGTCTGTCGCTGTCCACACAGGCGGTTTGCTCCGAGACCCTGTCCTGTCCCTCAGGCTTGCTCAGTGAGGTTGTGCGTTCCCTTTCCTCAGTCTCGGGCTGAGATTTGTTTCCTCAGAGAAATGCAAACCCGTTCTGGTGCCAAGTGGCCCCTGCCTTTGCTTCCTCCTGAAGTAAAGAGGAGCGGCTGTTTCTAGTTTGTGTGTGCAGCTGGTGTAGATGCTCAGCACGAGCCCCGTGCCTGAACCAACCGGCGCGATCCCACTGCGTGAGCCAAGGGCGTTTTGTGAATGGAATGGAGAGGAGCACGCAGCACAGCATTTGGAACACCTGGTCTCCCTGTCGCCAGTTCCCGCGGTATAAATATTTGACATCAATTTCAGCCCACACGTTTTTCCACCTGGCTTGCTCATGATTCAGGAACTTTGAGCTTGCTTCGATTCACCTCTCATTTATTTTATAGGTTATGTAGACAGACCCTGACTGTTAGGTGGATCATCTATAGAATTTCACCGTTTGCTTAAGGAACATATAATAGGGACTCTCCGATTACCTTAGGCGTTGTTGAAAATTGGATTGTTCCTGAGAACAGTGGTCCCGTTGTGTCATCTGCTATCTCAGTTTATGACGTTGGCTTTCATAATAAACTTGATGCGAAAAGAATCTGTATAAACAATAAAGGTACAGGTTGTAATCAAGCTATCGTGGCTTCTGATAACTTTCATTACTAGAAGGGCTTCTAGGGTCCAACTGGCTAAATTAATATTTGATTTTAAGTAAACATTTGCAGTTGACTTTAAAGTATGTTACTAGTTTCACTCTCTACATGTTTTTCAAAACATATTGTAATTGTTAATATTTGAAGCCAAATGCATAGATGCATTGAAATCTTTCTGTCAAGATACATTACTTGAAACTTAACACACCATATCATCACTGTGACTTTCTTACAGAAGTTGCTTAAGTATTCAGATAAGCCATTAAAACGTTAAACTTCGGTGTAAAAGGAAAGCTTTGGGGAATAACTCTATCTCGTGCGTCCACTAACTGTGTAGTCAACACCACAGCTCCCTATTTTAGTTAGAACTTTTTTGATGTGTTAATATAAGAATTAGGTGAAGTGAAATTAATCTTGTGGACAGTTAATTTTAGATGATTTATTAATTGGAGTAGATTGTTGAAATTTTAAAAATTTAAATTCCCAAATGCTGTCCTGAATAACATGTGCATTTTAAGACATCAGAGTATTTTAAAGAATGTTCATTGATATAATTTAATTAATAAATTGTTTTTGTGATGACATCTTCTCCATTATTGTCATGTAGAAGAACCATATTATTATAGTGAGGATAAAAACTAAAACATGCTTAATTTGTGTGTGTGTGTGTGTGTGTGTGTGTGTGTGTGTGAAGTAGTGTTTCATCGCCTGTACTTGGGAATCATAATCATATTCTAGGTGATTTAGTTGATGAAAATTCTGTGTGAGAGAGATGACATTTCTTTTCTTATTGAAATCTGAGCTGCATTATCATTTTAAAATCATGACCAATTGTTTTTTCTATTTCTAGAAAATGAGTTACAAACCAAACTTCATTTTAGCGTCTTGCTATCCCAAGAGTCTTTTCTCCCTTTAGAAACAGTTATCTGTTATGACACAAAATGAACTTTTAAATTTCTTTGCTGATTTACTTATTTTTTTAAATCAAAGAAACTTTCTAAAAGTTACATGATGCCCTTTGAAAAGCATTTGATGTGCCAGTAGAAAGTTTGATGTCATTTCAAAGTACTTGTCTTTGTTATCTGAGAACTGTTTCTGAAGTGCCAGAAAATGAGGGATAATCGTTGCTTTTGTAATGGCAATGAAATCATATAGAATGATAGTTGGTATGACATTTTCTTGAAAGTTATGTGGGGGCTGTTGTGGTGGTGTACCAGGTTAATCTTCCACCTGCAGCGTTGGCATCTATGTGAGTGCTGGTTCCTGTTCTGGCTGCTCTGTTCTTGATGCAGCTCCCTGATTACGGGAAGCAGCAGAAAGATGGCTCAAGTTCTTGGGTGTTTGCATCCATGTGGGAGACCCAGAAGAAGCCACTGGCTCTTGGCTTTGCATTGGTCAGCTAGAGCTGCTGCAGCTGTTTGGGGAATGAATTAGTGGATGGAAGACACCCCCCCTTTCCTCTTTCTGTAATATCTGCCTTTCAAATAAGAATAAATTCATCTTTAAAAATTATATCCAAAGCATTTAATAAAGTGCACAGTTTGGCCAAACCTAGGAGGACTAAAGACAGACTGTAGAATTAGACTGAAGGTGAAACCGAGGAGGGAAAGCATTAGATGGATACTGAATAATGCTATGCAGGGCAAAATAAAAGAAAATTATAAATAATTAAAATATGAATATCAATACCGCATTTGGCTATGAAAAGCAATACAATTCTTTTTTTTCATTATTGTTGAATTCCTGAACATATCCATCTTTAATGATTATCTTTCCATCTTTTTTGATAAGGGGAATTTAGTCATCATCTTTAGAAACAGTGAAAATTCCTAGTTGATGCTGGACAAACGAGAAATTATCTCCTACCTGCTGCACTTCTCTTCTGCAAGGGGACATGGGAAACAGCAGGGGAATTATATTAAAAATTATTTTATGTCATAGAAGAGGGATTTTTCAGTTTCAGTATTTTCAGACCAAGAATTTTTGGATTTAGTGCATGCCTTTCTGCTGCCATTCTAAGCTTGTATTTATATCAATAATTCCTTTCATGTACATCAGCTTCTGAAAAGGAAATACATTTTTTTTAAAAAAGATTTATTTATTTTTATTGGAGAGGCAGATATACGGAGAGGAGAGACAGAGAGAAAGATCTGTCCAATGATTCACTCCCCAAGCGGCCTCAATGTCTGGAGCTGAGCCAATCCGAAGCTGGGAGCCAGGAGCTCTTCCGGGTCTCACATGCGGATGCAGGGTCCCAAAGCTTTGGGCTGTCCTTCACTGCTTTCCCGGGCCACAAGCAGGGAGCTGGATGGGAAGCAGGGTTGTTAGGATTAGATCCAGCACCCATATGGGATCACGGGCATGCAAGGCAAGGACTTTAACCACTACACTGTCACGTGGGGCCCAGGAAATACATTTTTATGGTGAGGAATGTGTCTTGAGACTGCTGTTAGACACTGTGCTGACTGAATACAAACAGCTGACTGCTAGGAAAAAAAAATATTCTTGTACAGATTAAAAGTTGTCTGGGTATGTACTTCTTTTCATTGATTACTTTGGGTCGGAGAATTTGATGGAGCCATCAATTACCAAGCAGACTATGGCCCATTAGGATTAAATCGGTCAGAGTTCTTTGGAATTGCATGATCTTCAGTGTTTTTCATTTGTTGGTTGGCTCTGAGATAGTGTTTATGTACATTGAAATGTTCGGATCCTACAGTTGGTGCTTTCAGGAACACGTCTGTTTAACACATAGCACATTAATGAGTGACTGTTTCCAGTCACTCCAATTAGTCCTTTCATGGTTTTTTCTACTTAATCTACCTGATCTATAAACTTACTTTTTTTCCCCACATGAAACAGTTTTGCTTGTTCCAGAACTGATATATGTGTTCTTTTGAGTCTGGCTTTTTTTTTGTTCACATGCTATATGTGAGTGAAGTCTGTCCAACTTGCTGCATGTATCAATAATTCATTTCCTTTTATTGCTGTATATTGTGCTGTTTTATCAACCTCCCATAATTTTTAAATACATTCTGCTGTTGCTGGACCTTGAGATAATTTCTACTTTGAGTAGAAAAAAGATTTATTTATTTGAAAGGCAGAGTTACAGAGAGAGAAAGAGAAAGAAAAAAGAGGTGTTTTTATGAATAAGACTGTACATATTCTTGTATTGATCTTTTCATAATGCTATGCTTTCATTTTTTTTGAGTAAACATCTAGAAGTAGAGTTTCTGTGTTAAGATGTATGCTTAATTTTATAAGAAACATATCTTTTGTCAAAGTAGTGGTTCGATTTTACATTCTTGGCAACAGCATGAGAGAGTTCTAGTAGCTCTGTGTCCTCAACAACATGGGGTGTCAGCAGACTTTTGTAGTTCTAGTTACTGTAATGAGTGTTTTTGATGCCTTTTTGTGATTTTAATTTGCATTTTTCTTATGAGGAATGGCGTTGAGCATGGTTTCCTGTGCTTGTGGATTTATTGACCATTTCTGTATTGTCCTATGTGAAGGACCTGTTCTGTCCAATTAAGAGGCTTGTTTTTCTTTTTATTAATCAGTAGCAGAAAATCTTTAGTCTCCAAATCAGTCCTTTGTTATAAATTATGCATATTATGTATAATATATGCTGTGCTATAGTTGTACCATATTTAAATTTGTGCTTTATATGTAAATATATTTGCAATTTTCTCACAGTTTGTGAGTTACATATTCATAGTCTGAATAGTATTTTTTATGAGTTTTTTTATTTTGATGACATCTAGGCTATTTACTGTGGATAG